ACGATGCAGGTCCAGCGGCCAGCGAGGCACTGCAGGACATGGGTGCGATGAAGCCGACAGGAGTCCTGACGGAGCAGCTGCGGCGCAAGTGGCGAGGATCATGCACTCGTTTGGCGCAGCGGCTGGTGACGGAGGCGGAAAGGGCCACGGTGCTGAATGCCTTGCGCACATGGGGTGAGGTGATCACCTTTATGCAGGCACGATCTTGACCGCTGCCACCAGAAGTGGTCGACCTTGATGTTTTCCTCCACGAAGGAACAGCTGCTCCGGCCCGTGCTACTCAATCGCTGCGCTGGTTGACCAAGCAGGCGAGGGTGGATCTGGGGTTGGGCATGCTTGCGCCGCCTGCGAGACAGGCGCGTCGGGCAGGGCCCAGAGGGCAGGCAGCGGTGGTGGAACCGGTGATGCTGCTGAAGATGGAGCAATGGAGGAGCTCTACACGCAGGGCGATGATCGCTGGCAAGCATTGCTGGCGGCGTGGATGCTCTATGGAGGAGTTCTACGCCACAAGCACCTCACTCGGGCGGAGGTGCGGAAGGTGACCATGTCGACGGTCCACGCGCACTGCAGCAAAGGGAAGCAGCGGCGACTGCGCAAGGGCTTCGACTTCTGCGTGCCCGGACAGCTGTCAACCGGGTGGGACTGGTCGGCGGCCTGGCTCCATGACTTTGCCCTGGTGCCGGAGAAGCAGAAGGCAGACTGCGGGCTGGCGTTCCGTCGGGAGGGGATCCCGTGGTCGCTGTCCGATGTCTACCGGATGGCCCGGCACGAGTTTGCGGACTTGGTGGAGAACCCGGCGATGATTTCGTCGTACTCGTTCCGGCGGGTTGGTACAACTGTGGGCCAACTGGTGGGGTTTAGCGCCCTCGACATGGCAGCTTTGGGCGACTGGCAGACCAAAGGTGGCGTTCCGGAGGATGCTCGCATGCCATTGCACTACAGCGGGGCCAAGTACGCGGCGTCCTTGTTTGCCAAGCACAGGATGGTGGGCGCGGTGGCGGCTCTGACCCACCACGAATCCTGGGAGTTGGTACCGCGGATGCCAGCGATCGAGACGGTGGGGCGCCGGGAGCACTGGTTGGAGTTCGATGGACGGGCCCTACGCGAATGGGCCATGGCACCGATGGCGGTGAGCCTCGGGCTCACACCACCCCCATTGGCCTCGGGTGCCACAGTGCCGCGGCGAGTGGTGATCCTCGAAGTGTTGTACGAAGATGGGACCCTACCCGAGGACGTGGTTTACGTTGGACGAGGGCATCACAGCCATCGAGTATCTACGTCCGACTGGAGATGCCCGTGGGTGCAGGGGCACGACTGCTCGTGGGACGAGTGGATCCCACGCTTTGTGCAGTATGTCCATCGATGGAGATCAGTCAGGCCTGGGTGACCGGTTGCCGGAGCTGATGGGCAAGAGGCTGGCCTGTGATTGCAGCTTAGAGGAGGTGTGCGAGGCCGACATTTTGGCAGGCTTGGTGTTTGAGGAGTGTGTCCAACAATCGGCCGCACAGCCAGCACGACGGAAGAACCGCCAAGTGCCGAGACGAGGAGTTCTGCTGGCATGGGGCGGTTTGCCGGGAGTGGATGCCAGAGCAGTGCCGTGGAGGCGCTGGACGCAAGAGGCAGTGGTGAACTGCTTCTTGGGCCTCTTCCCTGAACCCTGGTTCAAGGACTTCCGCTTCCCCATGATTGAGGACCTCATCAACCAATCCCCATTCACCGACTATGCGGAGTGGCGGCATGGGCAGCAGCCAGATTGGGATGGTCCCCTGGGCCCTACCACGGCCCCGGCGGGGGTCCGCATCCGGTCGCGCACAAGCCACAAGGCAGCCTTGCCCCCGCTGATTTCCGGTGTGCCCAATCCGGACGACCACTTCGCTACGGCCTTGGCAATGAAGATGACACCAACTCCACTGGAGCAGGAAGCAGTGATGGACGAGGATTTGCAGTTCGTGGCTTCAGTCATGGCGGCACGCAGGGGGGACCTGCGCCAGCTGCGTCGTGGCGCCATTGGGGCCGTCAAGGCGTTGAAGCAGAGATGGAGGCGAGTGAATGATCAGTTGAGGCAATTCCAGGCACCAGCCCTTCAAGCAGTGACAGCGCAAAGGGACATTGGCTTGCTGGGCCTGTTGGTGATATTGCTGGCGTGGCCCGACGTGTCATACCCCCATGGCCTGGTGGTGGGCCTGCCAGCAGCCGGCTTTGCCCCCCACTACGGCGTTTTCCCCCAGCAAGACGCGCGGAGGATTACCTTTGAGGAGGTCCTGGAGGGGGCGGGCGAGAACAATCGTCTCGTGCTAGCCAGTTTGCGTCCGGGCAAGGATGACACTTTCTTACTGGAGCAGTCGCAGAAGGACGCCGATCGTGGGTTTTGCACGGCCCCGATGTCCCTGTCCGAGCTGCAGCGGGAGCTCAAGGGGCAGGAATTCCGACTCATACCCAGGTGTGTCATCACACAGTCCTCAGGCAAACAGCGAGTGATCGACAACGCAGATACAGGGGG